CTCACACGAACCCTTTAGGGTTTTATGCTCGGATTATAATTCCCTCTACCACATTATATCCTCAACTAACTCCCTTCCTCTTCTTAAATCTCTTATACTAGCCTACCTCTCCCGTAGTTAGTTTCATTTTAGTTTTGTCTTGTCTCTGATTTTGGTAATTTCTGCTTGCTTAGCTTAGTCTAGTTATGATTAGATCTAATTTTCCTCGAATATTAGCCTAACATCTATCTTTCCTGCATGCTCGAAGCTCGAAATTTTTCTCGAAGCAATTGCTGACTATCGGTAATGGCCGTGTTCCTGTTGACAAATCGAGCGGTTTGATTTAATTTCCTCAAAATTTTTGCAATTTCGTATCATCAAAAGACGAGCTTATCAACAACGTATTCCCGGATATCATTGCTAACACAAAAATACTAAATGGTTAAGTGAGCGAGCAATTTTGGACGCTAAAAATAAAGATGTAGATGACCTCAATCTTATAATTCAAAATCAAATCGTAGGTACTCTATATTCATTCAAATCTATCGACTGTGTAACAAACGAAGAAGAAGCCACTGATTATCCAACTGAATTTGTAATTGGTTTACCACCGCACAATTTAAAACTTGAAGTTGGCTCGGTAGTCATCATGCTTAGAAATTTAAACCAACCAAAACTGTGCAATGGAACGCGTTTGGTGATAAGAAAACTGATGAGCAATGTGATTCACGCGTCGATACTTAAAGGAAAATTTAAAGGTGAGGAAATTTGTATTCCAAGGATTCCTATGATCCCAACGGATATGCCCTTTGAGTTTAAACGAATTCAATTCCCGATTCGTGTTGCCTTCGCCATGACGATCAACAAATCACAGGGCCAATCCTTGACTATTTGTGGCCTCAATCTAGAACGTGTCGGCAAACCATCCGCTTTATTTGTTCTTGCGCCTGACCAAAAAACAAAGAATGTCGTTTACCACAAAGTGCTTGAATGAAAATCCTATTACCATCGCATTGGATCATTGCAACCTATAGAAGATGCACAGCATAAATTTTTGCAATATGGGCAATATGGAAGAACAACTTGGCAGGCGTCAAGGGATCAACACAGCAACGAAGAGAGCTATTCTCCAAGATCTACAGCAAATACTTCATGAACATCATGCATTGGTCAGGCTGTTCAAGACTGCATTAGAGCGCATGCCAAGTGATTGCAATTCGGTCTAGTCAATTAAATACATTTGCAATATGTCACGAAAGGGAGCGACATGGCGGTTTTTGGTATCCAAACATCCAATACCAACGATGAAATCACGCACTATCAAGTTGGGACTTTGTTGTTTCTTTCTATATAAACATATTATTTTGTATCATTGTTTTACGTTCATCAAAGCCTAAATTAGTTCAGCTAAAAAGTAACACGACATTCATTGACTGTTAGGCGGTGCGAAGTTCGCCGGGTCAGCTAGTCACATAATAAAACAATAATGCTGACTTATATGTAATAGAAAATGCCGTTGATTTGTGTCTTTTCATCAGGGAAATGACCCAAAACAGACCAGATAGAGAGCTCTAAGGGGTTTTAAAACACTGACTATTATGCAATGTTTTCTCTTGCTCAGTCCCCAGGTATGAACCATAGGGAAAATCTTTGAGGAACAGTTAAGGAATATGTTTCTAATACGTAATCAAAGAAAAGGCTTCAAATTTTGGGGTCCTGCCAGATTTGTGGAGATGAATCCCCCAGGAAAGATGCGAACATAAGGTTACATCTTATGACAGGACTCTGAGTCCTTTATTTTTGCTGCCAAAAGTTTTAAAACAAATTATTAACCTTTGAATACAATTAAAGTAAACTATATTAATCACAAAATTGGGAAATTTTCTTATGAATTTAAAGTTCTTTGAGCTCTTATGAAATTGGTGCTATTTTTGTTGACGCCTAAATACCAGAATAATTCCTTTTCCTTTCAAATATGTCCAACTGAAGCCTTCAAAGCATACCAATTCCCTCGGATAAGTTGAATTAAGCCTCAAAGTTAAAAAATAGTTTTAAAAACCTTCATAAGAACCATTGTTTTAACAAAATATCTAAAAAAAACGCCGCAGCTTTATATTTTCCCTTAATTCTATTGAAAAGAAGTAAATATGTATGTACGCAGGAACATAAAGAGGAATATTCAAAGGAAGATTGAAAGCTCTATAAATTGATCCACAAACTTATTCTTTTTCTATCGGAATTACGCAGAAAATCTCTAGTGATTGATTTTCCGTCCCTTCACCGATCTTTCGGCGTTCTTTTTTTTTTGTGACTCAGCGACTACCGAATGCCCGATCGAATCTTTTGCAAAACAAACTACTGTTCGAATATCACACATTTCATATCGAATTTCATACACCATTCAATTTTTTTGAGAAGCTTCTGTCTTGCCCTTAAAGTTCCACGGAGGCTTTTTTGGTGAATTCAGTGAACCAAATTAAGTCCCTAACCGAACCAAAACGAACCGCAAACATCTGTGTGGTGTTGTGGGAAAGCAAATTTAAAATGCCGCCACATAGAGAAAGACAAAAATACAACAAGAAAAACAATAAAATTAGTAGAAAGAGTGAAAGGCAAATCAGATGATGATGATGAAGTGTTCATTAATACCCAAGAATCTTCATCTCCGGTCCGAAAGCCCACGGAGACTTGGAGTTTTTGAGTCCTGCGTCTCGACTCTTGTCTTCCAGACGAACTGACATTCAAATTAAATTGGATTAACAGAGCGTTGTTCCCTTGTCAAGAAAAGAAAAGCAACAAAAACAGCACAAACAAATTTCAGCCCCAAACACACACAAAAAACACAAAACCTCTAAGAAACGAGAAGGGACGTGTGAGACGCTTCTTACGCGTCACAACTTTCATACCCGGCACTCAGTACTAAATCTGCACCTTAGCAGTTTTTTGTCAAATTTAAAATTTTTTCTTTATCTTTTATCTACATCTACAACACTTCTCACACCAACACGCTCCTTTAGCTCGCTCCCCTTCCCTAGACCCACACACTGCAGACTCGCACCAGAGGAGTGGTCGCACACAGCAGAAGCAGAGTGTGAATGAGAGAATGTGTAAAAAACAAATATAAGCTGCGGGACGGGGTGGGTTTAGCCACTACAAATTAATTTCTTCATTCTGGCTATAATAATGATCCAAACGGAAGGGGGCGGAAGGGGGCGTGGCTCATATTTGAAATACAATTGTAACAGTGTGAGCATACAGAAGTCTCTGTGATCTAGGCGCTCATAAGGACGGACGGACGGACGGACGGAGAGACAGACATGGCTCAATCGGCTCGGCTATTGATTCTGATCAAGAATATATATACTTTATGGGGTCGGAAACGTTTCCTTCTGTACGTTACATACAACCGTTATTCACACAAATACAGTATACCCATTTAGTCTTCGAGTATCGGATATAAAAACTGCAGTATCGAATCCAACACGAAACGAGAAGGAACGTGTGAGACTCTTCTTACGCGTCACAACTTTTATACCCGGCACTAAGTATTACATCTGCACCTTAGCGGTTATTTGTAAAATTCTAAATTTTTTCTTCATCTGTCATCTACATCAACAACACTACTCACACCAACACGCTCCTTTAGCTCGACCCATTCCCTAGACCCACACACTGCAGACTCGCGTCAGAGGCAGCGCCCGCACACAAAAAAAAAACAAATATATGCTGCGGGACGGGGTGGGTTAAAGGTCGGCAGAGGAAAAGGCAGAGGGTCGGCAGAGGCAGGGGCCGAGCGAAGCAGAAGCAGAGTGTTAATGAGATAATGTGAAAAGAACAACAGAAGCTGAACAGTTTTTAGTTTTCTTTTATCTTCAAAACTGTAGGTTTGGGAAGGGGACGGGGCTAATTTTTTAAATACACTGGTTTCAGTGTGAGCATACAGCAGTCCGGAGCCAGAATTTGGTGGCTCTAGCTCTTATAGTCTCTGACAACTAGCCGACAAACAAGACGGACGGACGGACAGACAGACATGGCTCTATCGACTCGGCTATTGATGCTGATCAAGAATATATATACTTTATGGGGTCGGAAACGTTTACTTCTGTGCGTTACATACAACCGCTATTCACACAAATACAATATACCCATTTACTCTTCGAGTACCGTGTATAAAAATTGAAGAATTCTGCGGACGACTACGATGACTCTGACAGTGACATATTTTGTGACAGCTGATGGAATATGCTTTGGAGTTGGGTTTCCGTCGCGCTCTTTTTTGGAAGATTCTCGCTGAATGAATGACTGATCCATCATGATGTGGCTCTGAACTGCAGAGCTTTTGCCAGTGTCAACTTTTTTATACTGGGAGCTGATGTGTCGGCACCATTTGATCGCATCGGAACTAATCCTTTTCGCAATGACTTGACAGCAGATGCTGCTGCGCGTTTTCCCTCCTTCTTGCTCTTGCCGCCTGTTGCTTTGGTTCTTAAATTTCGCGGTGCCATCAATCAAGAACTGGATGCTGCTGGATCGTTGCGCTAATTAGTCACTCAGGCATTCAGTCCGAGTCGTCATTCTTTCGGATATCAAATTTACCACAAAAAGCTCTGCTCGATCTGCTCTGTGAAGACTTGTGGCATGTACTTAGTCGCGCTCTAGTGATCAATCAATGACGATTAATGCAAATACAAGGTCAGGCACAATCAACCTCTGCCTCTCTCTCTCTCGATCGATGTCCAGTTGCAATCGCTACACACATCAATCATTCATTAACCGCTCAAGTTGTCAGGTTTTGTCGCTGATTATAAAATCGTTAGTAGAGATCTCTCTCTCTCTCTCTGCTTCTCTCCACTTCTCTTTGCTGTGCTAGTCGCCTGTCGCTTCGATTGCACTTTTGATCCGTACAGTCACTGCAATCATTTAATGCACTCCATGAGCCAGCAGCCAGATCGAAAGAACGCTCGAAAGAGCGTTTCCTCATTGCAATTAGTTTGCTCGCTTCATGGACTAGACCATAAGATAGGCTTAGCTAATTAGTTTGATTATTGAATGGACATTCCAGCGGCATCCGACCTGATATGATGGACAGACAGTCAGTCAGGCAGAGTCTCAGTCGCAGTCACAGTCACCAATTGAAGACCGTATAGTGTTACACGAGATCAAAGTCAATGAGAATTTTCATTTGAGATAAGTGAAGGCTGTGCAAGATGAATCAACTGATTTTCTTCTCATTTTGCATAATATCTTAGTGGGTTGGAAAGCAATGAAGTCGATTTTCAGGACATTCACTGAAGTCTAGATCATTTTCACAACAAAAAGAAGTTTTAGTTTTTTCCTTTAAAATTTATTTCCTTTTTAGCTTCTCTCGGGGGAGTCCCTCTTGGCCTGCCATTCTGTCATGTTTCGCAAATCCCAAAAAGTCAGAGATTTATCTTTTGTCTTGCCATTGTTCGGGGATCCGGATCCTGGCGGATATCATAGCCCCCTGGGCCTCTGTTCATCCAGAATATTGATGCGCTCTCGTTCTCCCCACTGATGCTACACCCGTGGCATTGTTGCGGCCGATGTTGACATTTTTGGCGAGCCACCATTCCACCTTTTGAATGTTGTGCCCCGCTTTGGGTGCCTTGGCTTGGGGAGTAGGTGCCTTTATTTATGTTTATGGCTTATGAGACACGACGACACTGAATTGCATTAGCTAAGGCTCCACCCGGGACCTGCTCCAGATGCTCCGCAAAAAAAATGGCGGGGCCAATGTGATTTTTCAACTGGATGACATTTTGGTATTTGCTAAGCGCGCGCGTTCATGTCTCATCAGCTTGTTAGGGTTTACAGAATTCCCTCAACTTGTGATAGAGGTCCAAGAATTGGTTTCGGGTGGGAAGCTTGCGTGACACGAAGAGGCAAAAGGGAAACGATGGTTGTGAATGTGGCACGAGTATAAGGAAAATCTTTTCAGAACATTATTAATTAATTTTAACAATCAAATCGTTAGGATTTTCGATGCAGGGGATTGTATTTCGAATTGATATCATATGAATAATATCAATTTCATATCGATTACTGATAGAATTCTTAATTTTTTCATCTCTAACAGGAGTTGAATGCTTCATAAAAGTGTTTTTAATATTATATCGTCCATCTTCCGTTATTATTGATATATTTGATCGATGTCGTATTTCCACCGTCTCTAAAAGTTTTTAACGCTTTAGTATTTCATGCTTTACTTTATCTTTGCCCTATAAACACCTTTACACACCCTCCGCGACTGTACTTTTCACGTTGCCATCTCTATCAGCGTAATTCGATAGATTGCGACAAAAAAACCAACGGCCAAGCAGTAGACAGAGAGACAAAGAGTGAGAGAGAGATGTTCATAGCAATTGCTGGTCTCTGGTGGTAGCTGAGTAAGTAGATTCTGCATCTGCCTCTCGTTCAATGCACTACCACAACCACCCGAAGAGGCATACGATCCTCTCGTATCCACAATGACAAGCCGGCAACGTCGTCCCTAGAGGAGCCTCTGGCTCGTCGTTGTTCCTCGCACGCGTGCGCATTTAACGAAATTTATTGGAGTCTTTGCTCTGGAATTTTGGACTTGTGTTCTCTGTCTGTCTGTCACTCGATGTCTGCCCGAGAGCTTCGGGTTTATCCAGCAGGCAGCCAGAAGTCCAGAAGAAGAGCAGGAGCTCCCATTGTTTGATCCGATCGATTCCTGAACCTGAAAACGCATTTGCCAGAGCCACAGAGGCAAAGACTAGAGTTTTATTATCTGTTTTTTTGTGGCTCTCTGTGGCTGCTGCTGACCTGTAAGGAGCTGGCTGTGGTTCGGGCATCCCCGTTGAAGTTTTTTAAATATTTTATCAGTCGTTTTGCAGAGTTTGGTGGAAAACGCTGATAAAGATCGCGCCACTTTTTTGTGGTGCC